TCGAACTCCTGAGCTCAAACAATCCGCCCGCCTCGGCCTCCCAGAGAGCTAGGATTACACAAGGAACATTTTTAAAGACAAACGCGAAGCCTGAGATCTCGCTCATGCTCCTGCAGAAACCAGCTTCGGTGGGACGCGGCTGCGTGAGCGGTGCCTACCCCCGGCCGGGGATGAGACCGAGCGCCATCCCAGGTCACCTGAGGGTGGCCAGGCGGGGCTGGCCCTGCTCCCAAGGGGCCAGTCCAGTGGGTTCCGGGGGTGTCCCCAGAGTGGGACTCAGCCCCTGCGCAGCACCGCGGGTGCCCGTGCTGATGCCGGCGGGTGGGGTGGGGGAGGGCACCCTACCTTCGCAGGCCTTGCCGTCCGCTGCCAGCTGGTAGCCCACGTGGCACGCACAGCGGGCAAGGCCCTGGAGCACCTGGCACGTGTGCATGCAGCCGCCGTTCCTGTCCGCACACGGGCTTCTCCCTGCGGTCATAGGCCCAAAGGAAGAGATTAGGGCAGGGAGATCCCACGGATTGGGGCACCTGCCCCAGGGCCCCTCGTGATGCCTCCACCCAGTGCTCTCTCCCCTCCCTGCTTCGTGGACAGGCTGGGCGGTGGGTCTCCCTCCCCCTGGATGTGGGAGCCCCCCAGAAAGATTCCACGTCCTCAGGACAAGGTCAGCCAGCACCAGGGCTGACACCAGGGCTGTGACCCCCAACTCAGTGACCCCATGCCATCCTGCCAGCAGGACCCAGGAGGCAGGTGGGGGCACTCTCTCAGCACCCACCCTTCCCGCAGCCCCCTATTTCCACACTCTAGGGGTCTCTGAGCCTGCCCCACCTTCATCATCAGCAAAGCCCCGAGATCCCAGAGCAAAGTGCCGATGGGGCCTGCCTCCTCCCCACCAAGGGCTGGGTCCAGGTCCCAGATGCCCGCAGCAAGCCCGGGGGGACGTCTATGGAACTGAGGCGTCCCCCCATCCCGAGCTTCCTGCCCCCACAGACATGCTATCCCAGAGCACAGCCCTAACCCACCGCTCCAGGCCTCCCAGCAGCCTCAGGGCCCCCTGAGACCTCCCCCCCCAGCCCCAGAGGCCCAGGTGGAGCAGCTAGTCCTGCACCTGCCCTGGGCTCAGGCCGCAGGGTCCTCCCTCCCTGCCCAGAGCGGCAGCCCACTCACGGACGCAGCGCCTGCCGTCCTCCTGGAGCTGGAACTCGGGCCGGCACTGGCAGCGGTGCCGGGTCGCTGTGAGCTGGACGCAGTGGTGCTGGCAGCCGCCATTGCCCAGGGCGCAGGAGTTGATGGCTGGGACACGGGGAGGAGCCCAGGTCAGCCCGGGAGGACACACGGCCAACAGTCCCGCCCCAGGCCAGCATGGAGCGGATGGCACAGCCACCTTCTCCTGTGGGACCGTCCAGGTCCCCGCCTGGCCACCGCAAGCCCAGGACACACGGGGCCCTGGCCCATCCTCTGCATCCTCCGGCCCAGCCTGCTTGCGGGCCGGACTCAGAAAGGCACTGAGAAGGCTAAGGGAGGGTGAGGTGCCCACGCACCGGCGTGCTCCCTGGAGGAGGTGGCAGTGGGTGATGGAGGCATCTCAGTGCCTTGGTCCCCAGGTCAAGGCAAGCGGCGGGTGTGGGGCTGCTGTGGACAGCCACTGCGGCCCACAGGCCTGGCCCCAGCTCCCAAGGGACCAGAGCAGCTCCTGCCCACGCCAGGCCAGGCCACCCCTCACACCCGACCTCACAGGGTGCCGTCCTCCCAGCCCCTCACATGCAGGCCCCGCAGGGCACGGGCTCCGTGGGGTCAGGCTGGCCCCGGGGGAGCCTGTGTGTCCCGTGGGTGGACGGGCCCAGGGAGGTGGGCAGAGGGCGCTGGGCCTCCGCCAGCAGCAGCAGCCAGCTCCTCGCCGGGACTTGGTGACGATCAAGTCTGCGCAATCGCCTCGTGGTTAGCAAGGGAGTCGGTCGGAGCTGGGGAAGCCACAGGAATGCGCCGTTGCCCGTGCCTGGGCAGGGGTGGCCGGCTGCCCGCCGCCTGCGCCCGGAGCAAACCTGAGCCCTGCCACTAAAGCGTCAAGATTTGGGGGTGGGGAGGCTTCACCCTGAGATGCTGGCACCTCCTGGGGGTGTCTCGGGACTAGTTTGGGGGCGCAGTTTGTCGCCATTGCACGTGGGATCGGAAACCCGGCCCCACCGGGCAGCAGGCGCTCAGTGGCCGGCAGAGCTGGCAGCGGCCAGACGAGAGCTGCCTCGGGCCCTGCGAGGCCAGCAGACCACGCCGCCGCCAAAGGCGAAGCCTCCTTCAAAGCGAGTTCAAAACCCGCAGTCCTGTCTCCCTGCAAGTCAGTGGGGAGCACATGCGGAGGGTCCCCCTGCGGCAGCACTCCTAGGGGACGACGCCAGTGGTGGCAGTGACCGCTCCACCTCCTGGCTCCACCTGGGCCTGGCACATGCAGAGGGAAGGGCCCAGGGCAGAACTGAGGGGGCCCATCAGCCTCCGAGCCCTCTCCCCACCCACCCCAACTCTGTGCTGACCCCCAAGCCAGACGGGAGCTGTCCTGATGCCTCCCCTGAGATGGTCTGTTAAGCCACTGGCAGTCGCGCCAGGGGCTTCCAAGCATGGCCTAAGCCGGCCCCACATTCCTGGGGGCTGTTTATCTGTGTTCACAACACCAACTGCATCCCTGCTTGGAACACGTAATAGGAACCAGAACCCGTTTCTGGCAGGGCCCAGCAGGCACGGAGAGCGCAGAGCCCAGGGCAGGGGAGCCAGGCCGGGCCCGCACGTGGACAAGGCCCCAGGGAGCTGTGGCAGGGCTGGGAGGGAGCCAGGTTTCCCCGTCAGCCCTCCAGACAGGCGGGGCCCGAGAGGGACATGGGGACCAGGCACTGGACCACTAGAGCCCAGCGGGGGTGGGGGGTTGGGGGGCTGTCGGGTTGGGGTCTGTCCAGATCTGTCCTCTCCTCGTCACACAGCTGTGACACTCCAGATGCTCCCAGGCTGTGCACACCAGGAGCCAAGCCCAGAGTCACCCTGCACATCCCCAGCCGTGGGTTCCCAGAAAGCTGAGCGAGGCAGATTTTCTCAGGTGCTGGGTCGCGGGTCTGTGTGACCAGGGCCAGAGCTGGTCGGGATGCTCCCAGGCCCCTCTGGTCACCATGGGTCCCAGCTGTGGCACACACAGCCCAGCGACCCCTGCCCAGGCCATGGCTAAAGGCTCACGCCGGGCCGCAGTCCTGCAAATCGGACCCAGCCGTGAGCCAAGAGTCCAGCAGAGGACAGGGACTTGGGACTTGCCTCCTCTGAGTGGGGGACAGATCCTCCCAGCTGTGCTCACACAGCCGTCACCTGACTCACCTGTGGACAGACAGACGCAGGTGCCACAAGCCGCGCTTGCTCTTTCATTTCCGTTGTATGATGACACCCAAGGGGCATTTTCTCAAAGAAAGCCCCAGACAGTGCCGTTCTGCGGGTCAGGGTGAGCAACCCCGCCCGGGGTTCTGGCAAGCCTGCCTGGCATTGCTGCCCCTCCTGACCGAGCTCCCTCCGCCAGGGCCTGACTTGGGTCCCTGCCCACGTCCAGATCAGACGGAGTGACGGTAGCTGGGGGCGTTCTGTGTTTCGGACTGAATGAGTGTCCGAAACCACATTTGGAGATAGGGTCTTTATGGATGTGATTAAAGATAAATGGGGGCATGAGGGTGGGTCCCTGATCGGATAGGATTAGTGTCCTTGCAGGAAGAGACACAAGAGACCCCTCACGTGTGTGCGCTCTCTCTCCCTCTCTCGCTCTCTCTCACGCGCAGCGCAAAGCCGCGCTCTCCAGCCAGAAAGGAGGCCCTTGCTAGGAACGGCATCAGCTGGCACCTTGATCTGGGGTGGCCAGCCTCCGGACCGATGAGAAAATTAATCTCTGTTGCATAAGCCGCCCGGTCTGAGGTATTGGGTTATGGTGGCCAGAGCTGAGACGCCCTGACCGCGCAGTCTGCAAATCCTAGGACACCCCCCCCCCCCAGCCAGGGGCCCTGCAGGGTGCGTTAGAGCTGGGCTGCAGCCCCAGCCCCTGCCAGCAGGAGTCACCACCACTCGGGAAACCATTAAGTGCGCGGCTTGGCACTGTCCCTGGGGAGGGGCTTGTGCTGTCCCAAGGGAGGGGCCTGCCTTGGGCCAGATGCCATATTCAGGAACCAGATTCCGCCAGGGCCAAGGGCCCGTTCTGCCCGTGCGGCTGGCTCCCCACTCGTGGAGGTGCCACACTCCTGGCGAGGACACTACTCCCGGACCAGGGGGCAGCTTCTGAGGCCAGACCCGAGGCTTGAGTGAGGCCCCAGCGCCAAGCATCGGGTGTGGCCGAGGGCCTCGGAGGCAGCGGCAGGTGGGGCCCTGGACGGCAGACCTTGAGGGTGGCTCAGCTGGCCGCCTCTGCCCCCAAGCCACCCCGCCTGAGCTCGCCAGCTGAGGGCCGTGCCGTGGCGACTTGCCAGCGGCGTGCCAAGCCCACCGGCTCGTTCTGCTCAGGCCTCTAAGCCCAGCCCGGGGCTGGCTCCAGGGCGGCTCTGGTCCCCAGGGGTTTCACAAGGTGTTGTAATTACTGCCCTCAGCCTGGGCTGGTTTCTAGGTCCTCAGAGCCTCCCACCACGTGTGGCCAATGGTCACAGCAGCCCTTCCTTCTAGGAAGCCCTCTGCTGGGGACAGGGCTGGGACGGCAGAACTGGGGAGACGCGGGGATTCATCCCCAGCCCTGCCACGGGCAGTCCACAGTTCTCCTCCTGCTCCCCGCCTGCCCACGCCCTCTGCATGGGGTGCTCCACTCACTCACAGCCACGTAAGCACCGTCCTCACCCACGTACCATGGCCCCAGCAACACAGAGAGCCCAGGCCAGCACAGCCCTCCAGCACAGCCACCAGGTGGCCGGAGCACAGACAGGGAGGGAAATACCACCACCCCTCTGCAGACCCAAGCTGAGCTGACCCCTTGGCCTACATCGGGGCAAGGGGCTGGGCCAACCTGCCCCTGCGCCAGGAGCTGACTGTGCTTCACCCTCTGGTCTGACCTTTGCTCCCAACTAACCCTAAGGGCACCAGCTCCCCTCCCGCCCTGCTCTGCCCCACCTTCCCCTTGCGTTTCTAGGCCACTGCCCCAGCCTCCCTGGGTTGGGGTGCCCCCATCCCACGCCCCACCACTGCACCCAGGCTCCCTCCAGCCTCAGCCCGCACCTCTGGGGTCCTGGACTCAGGCACGGCCAGGACAGACCCCTCCCCCTGTGCAGAAGGGTGGGGGCTGCTTTTCCTTGGCACCTCCAAGCTGGGAAGGCAGACTCGCCTTGTGCAGCTGCAGCCTGTGCTGGGCTGGGAGAGACCAGGACACACTGGCAGAGCTGCGTCTGTGGCTTCGCACGGATGGGTTTTGCAGACGGGCCTGGCGGCCTGCACATGAGTGCCTGCGTCATTGGCCCAGCCGCGAGCTGCTGCCAGCAGCAGCCTCCCGGGGCCTCCCCTGCAAGCAGGAGTCGAGGGAGCATCCTGGGGTGCCCTGTGCAGCCCCCCACTGCCCTGCTGCCCTGACAGGGAGACCCAGGCCTGGGGAAGGGAGGGTCACCCCGAGGCACACGGCAGGCCAGTGGCAGAGCCAGGCAGGAAGGCGGGACGCGGAGGCCTCCTCCAGCGGTGCACGCACCAGGGCCCATCTGACTCTGCAGGGAGGGGACATGGGCGGGGGCAGCCAAGCCACCAGGGGATGCAGCTGACAGCAGAATCCCCACCAGCATTCACCCCAAAGGCCTGACGGGTTTGAGGCCATGAGGACAGAGAGCCCTCCCCCTCTGTGGGCCCAGCCCAGTTTTGTCTGGAGGGACCCCCTGCTGGTTCAGCCAGTCACATCTGTAGTCTCTCAGACAGGTTGGGAGGGTCACTTGACCCAGGGACGTGGGGCAACAAGCCATATACAAGGCCAGGGGCCAGAGGTCAGCCAGGCTGGCCTTGGGACCCCCGGGCAGGTGTGGCGCTGGCTCGGAACACCCCAGGTACACGAAAGAGGCTCCTCCCGTGCAAAGTGTCAGACGACCTGGGAGTTGTCCTCCTCCCTGGGTTTTGCAGGCTGGTGCTCTGCAAGATGTCACGGAAACTGAGAATGACACTCCCAGACACGCCGGCCAGACCACTGCCCTGGGCAGGCCCTGCTTTCCATGGCTGGGGAGGGCCGGCCCGGGCCCGGGGTGAGAAGCAGGCCTGGCCCGGCCCTCGGGCCTCGCTGGGCCCTGTTCTTCCCACCCAGAGACTGGGGGACACACCCAGGAGGGCGCCTGGGTGACCGAGTGTCCCAGGACAGGGGTGGCCAGGGCAGGGGGACAAGGCCCCAGGCTTGGCCACTTCTCACAGAGCAAACGGCAAAATTCTTCTCATAAAGTCTCACTTTTAAGAATGGAAGCTTTTTGTGTTTTATTTCTGTAAGCTCATTTGGAAGGGGGATGCATGGAGGCCGTGCATTTCCTGCCCTCTCCCCGCCTCGCAGGGGAGTGCAAGTGTGTTTCAAGGCCCCCTGCCAGCACAGCCTCCTCTGGGGTCTTCCCAGATTGCTCTGGGCCCTGGACGCCCTGAGAGCTCCATCCTGCACCGTGAAAGGATGGCCCCATCCCTGCGGGCACCTTCTCCTCCCTCCTCCTCAGTCCAAGCTGCCGGGGGGAAGGTCCGAGACTTCAGGGCCTCAGGCCTGCACTGCCCGTCCCTGGTCCACCTGCCAAGCCCCAGGAGGGGTCACGGTGCCCTCCTCCAGGAGGGGCCCAGCGAGCCTGGGGAGGGCTCCGCAGCAGCTGTGCCCTAGCTGTGCGGCCTACCCCATAGCTCCCTGCCTGCCCACGCCCTCTGCACGGGGTGCTCCACTCACTCACGGCCACGCAAGCGCCGTCCTCGCCCACGTACCACGGGCCCAGCAACACAGAGAGCCCAGGCCACACAGCCCTCCAGCACAGCCACCAGGTGGCCGGAGCACAGACCAGGGAGGGAAACACCACCACCCCTCCGCAGACCCAGGCTGAGCTGACCCCTTGGCCCACATCGGGGCAAGGGGCTGGGCCATCCTGCCCCCACGCCAGGAGCTAACTGTGCTTCACCCTCTGGTCTGACCTTTGCTCCCAACTAACCCCTGAGGCCCTGCTGCCGTCTGGGCCCAGAGGGGGCCACTGTGAACTGGAGGATGAGGCCACCGGCCCTCCCCACACCCTGTATCCCGGGAGTCCTGAGGGGGAAACAGAGGGTGGGGGAGGGTCCCCTTCCCAGGGGCTGGAAGTCCAGCTGGACCCCCTCAGAGCCCTGGCAGAATCCAGGCAGCCTGGCATGGACCGGGCAGTGCCGAGGCCACGCTGTGGCAGGAGACCCCCTGCAGGGCAGCCCCTCAGCCATGACCCACCCCACCTGTCCCAGCCCGTATCTCAGGCCTACTGCCCAGCAGGTACCTCGGCAACGAGAAGGGGCTCAAGACAGCGGGGCACCCCCAGAACAAACCCACCTGGCTTTGCCTGGGAAGAAGCCCCCAGGAGACCCCATGTCCACTCTGGAAGCTTCTCAGGCCCCCACAGGGAAGGCAGCACCTGGTGGGCCCAGGCCAACAAACCGTCATGGTCCTGGACACTCCCAGGAGACCTGGGAACCAGCAGCCCACTGGCCAGTGTCACCTCCCAGGAATTCCTGACGCGTGGAATAGCCCCCATGCAGAGTGAGTGGCCACTATGGGCAGGGGACAAGCAGTGACAACATGCCCCAGGGAGCACTGGGAAGGGGGTCTGGGTGGTGCCCAGGCAGGGACGGCCTGGGAACGGGGTGATCCTCATGGGCCCCCAGGCCACCGCCAAGGGACCTGGGTGGGGAGGAAGGCGCTTCCCCAACTCGACCGGCCAGAGGCCAGTGGCACCCGGGCCGCCAGGGCGGTGCTTGCCGAAGTGAGGGTCGCCACCCATTCCCGGGTGAAACCAGCCCAGCGAGCGGCTACCAGCGCCTTTTCGTAGTGAAACAGACGGCGCTACAGGCCCGGCTGCACCACGGCAGTGGGGCTGTCGCTCCGTAAAGTTTTGGTGCAAAGTCTGTGCTGGGACGTGCAGTCGAAAGAAACAGAAAGTGACTCTGAGGTCACTGCTCTGCGTCCAGACACCGCAGTAGAGGAAAGCCCTGCCGATGACAGGTGAGTCTCGTCTGGGCCCTCTGGTGGGAGCAGCCAGGAGGTGGCCCCGCACCCAAGAAAGCTGTGGAGCCCCCCAACCACACGGGGTACACAGTGTCGAGGGCTGATGGCTAGAGGGGCTGGGGGTCCCCGCAGCCTCCTGCCAGGCCCAGCAGACCCTGCCCAGGGGGCCCAGCATCTGACCCCAAAAGGACCATTTCAAAAGAGCAAATGCCACCAATCAAGACTTCTGGGGCCCCAAGTGTGCAGACGTCTCCCAGGCAAGGCTCCAGGGAGGCGGCTCCAGTACGGCCGTGCAGGGGCGTGGGCAGGGGCCCCTCCCGGGCTCAGCAGCCAGCATGGGTCACTCCTCACCCTGCAGAGCGAGCACCCTGCGCTTGTTACTACTCATCCCTTCCAGGCCCTGGACCTTCCAGGGCGTCTCACGGAAGGCCACCAGCAGCACAGGTGGTGGAGAGGAAGGTTAGGGAGTGTCCCCAGCCTGGGGCCTCTAACAGTGGGGGGCCAGCAGGGAGGACAGGCACCCCCAACCTGGACTGGCCCCCAGCGTCTCCCTTCAGGAGGGCCCTGCCTGAGAGGAGGGGTAAGAGAAGGACATGTGTCCCAGAGCCACCTCTTCCAGGGGCTCTGAGGGGACCAGGGTGTCCAGGGCTATAGGGCCCCTGGCCACAGGCTCCCAGAAGCCCCCCCAGTGGTTATCGGGCTGGGCCCCCCCCTCTATCTGAGCCGTCCCGAAGCACATCACATCCTGCATCTGTTTCCACTTTCTGACCCAGGAAAAGTTTACAGGGCAGCTGCCTGGTTCCTCACAGCGGCTGGGACATGTGAGTGTGGCCAGGGCCCCCCGGGGCTGGCGGGCCGCCCTGCCACAGAGCAAGCAGGAGCGAGCTGCTCAGAGCCAGCCCAGGCCTGCTCTCTAAGGTGGAAAGAGGTGCCCCACCCCTTGGCCCCCAGAGAACAGCACATACGTCCCAGGCAGAGGCCAGCGGGGAGGGGTCTCCAGGTGACACTCACCCAGGCAGGTCCTGCCGTCCGTGTGGAGCCGGAAGCCAGGCTTGCACTCACAGAGGTAGGAGCCCAGGGTGTTGACGCACCGGTGCTGGCAGCCGCCGTTGTGCGCTCGGCACTCGTCCACATCTGGGCAGGAGCAGGGACACGTTAACAGCCAGCACTGCCACCTCGCTGAGGACCTGCCCCACCCAGGTGCCCAGGTGTTGGGGCCCAGACCCAAGACCCTCCTTGGAGTGTAAGGCTCCCCGAGCCCCTCACCCACTCCCGCCAGAGCTAGAGCAGAGGACATAGGGTCTGTCCACCCACCGTGGCCACCTGCTCAGGCGGGGGACAGCAGAGGGGAGCAGGCTCGGGTGGGGGCAGCCTAGCTCCTAGCGCCTTTCAAGACTGAACTTGGAGCACGTGCTATTTCTGTAAGTCCGAATGCAGAAAATGCTCCCAGGCAAAGCCACCACTCCATGGGGGCTCAGGAGCCCAAAAGGAGAAACAGACAACTTCGGAGATGACCCTGCACAGGCCCCGGGGTGGGAAAAGGCGAAGAGCGGGGAGGGTGGGGGCTGCTGGCGCAAACAGCGTCTGCTCCAAATTCACGTCCATCTGGAATCTCAGAACGTGACCTTAGCAGGAAACAAGGTCTTTGCAGATGTAACAAGTTAGGGATCGAGATGAGATCATTCTGGACAAGGGTGTCCCGACAAGACACACAGGAGGCCAACCAGGCAGGAACTGCACTGAGCTGGCTGCAGGCCAAGGACGGCCAGGGCCTCCAGAGCCAGACAGAAGAGGCAGGAAGGGCCCTGCCCCCGGGTCCAGGCGAGCACCGCTCCGACACCTGCAGCTGGACTCCTGGCCCCTCCCACTGTTTCAGGCCGCCGCGAGTGTGGTGTTGCTGCGGTGGCCCCAGGGAACCCACTCAGGCCCCCAAGCTGTGCCCTGCCCTGCAAAGTGCCAGCCCCTGCCCCGAGCACCCAGACCCCTCGGACCGCTGCCCCGAGGCCGGCTCAGATGGAGAACTGTGCATTCACGGGTTCCAAACTGGGGGTCCCCGCTCGAAGGAGCCAGGAGGACAGGTGCGGGAGAGGGGCAGGGGACTGCGTCTGGGGCTGGCCTGGTTTGGAGGTCCCAGCAGTATCCGCACTGCCGTGACTGCCACAGCCTGGGGGGGCGGCCAGGGGGGGCGGGGCGGCGGCTTAGGGCCTTGGGGCCCTTGCGGGGCCGGTTCAGCCCTGCTCACCAGCACGGCCTCCTGCCCCCAAGAGCCCTGGGCATGGGGTGGGGAGGGTGGGGAGGGACGAGCCTTGTATCACAGGACCAGCAGCGCAGGACACCCTGTCCACCTGCCCCTCCCCCAGGACCATGGCTCCAGCCAAAGGAAAAGTGCTGACCCTTCCCCAGGGCTGGGGGCACCCCGACACCCCAGGCGTGCACCACCTGCTACAAGAACGAAGCCAGACAGCACAGGCATGAAGAAGGCTTGGGCTGCCCTGGCCTCCCCCACCCCAGGCCCACACAGCCAAGCCAGGCCCCGGGGAGCCCAGGCAGACAGACGGGACCAGAAGGGCAAGAGGCAGCGGCTTCCCAGGTGTGTAGCTCCTGGGCCCCCAGGAGCAGCCCTGCCAGCCAGCGGAGCAGCCCGCACACAGGGGCTCTTAAAGCTGCCACTGCCAGGAGGAAACCAGCGTGGGGACAGACAGGAGCTATATGTGCCTAGCACTGCCCAGAGAACCCCCAGTGACCCCTACCCTGAAGAGCCCTCCTGGGGGGCACAGCCGAGAAGCAGCTCACTCCCTGGCCAGAGAGGCCGGGGCTGATTCAAGAGAGAGGCTTCGGTGGCATGTCCTCCACTGCGCCGGAGACTGGCCGGGACACCTCACTCCCATCAGTTACGCAGAGCCCAGCTCTCACTCTAATTCCGCTTGACAATCCGCCAGGTCCCCATGATCGGCTGTGACCGCTCCACCACCTCCAGGCCCCCCCACCATCCCCGTGAAAACGACTGCGTGCGAGGCGCCCATCCTAAGCGCTAGCCGTCGGGGCCGGAAGGTGGCAAGGGCGGCACGTGGGGCGAAGCTCTTCCCAGCTGTGCCCAGAGCCTCCTCAGTGGAGACGCCGCCCATGATGTCTCCCCCGTGCAGAAACCCACCACATCCCGCTCTCAGAATGTGCCTGGCAACCCGGAAACGGCAAACAGCCCCCAGAGCCAGAGTCTCCGCCTGCTGCGCGCACAAGCCACGCCCACTCTGGGGAGACCCCAGGGCCCCTCCTAAGCCCCAAGGCTGCTCAGGGAGGCGGCGGCAAACGAGACGAGGAGCCCCCCTCACCTGCACAAGATGTCCCTAAGTCACAGTGACGTTCTTCAGAAAGAGGCCAGGACAGTTTGTGGGAGGAAGCTTGAAAACAAAGGGTCAGAAGATCCCACAGAACCCCAGAGAGGCTCCTGGGAACAGAGGGTCCCAGGGCCCTCCGGTGGGAGTGTCAGCTGGGGGAACAGACTTGTGCCCGCTGGGCAGGACAGGGTGGGCAGCACCTGCCGGAGGGGCTCCAGGAGAGACCCCTTTCCCCTGAGCTTGCACCCTCACTCCGAGACCCCTCAGAGGTAACGGTGTGACCCCACAGAGCACACTGCAGGGCATACAGTTGGTGCTTAGTAAGAGCCAGCTGGCTCTGTAAAATCCCAGCCCTCGGACGGTGACTCTGCGGCCATCTGAGCCTCACTCCTGACTCCTTGGCTAACGGAGAGGCTGACTGAGGTGACATCGGACAGAGAGCAGAGGGGCGGTGGGTGCAGAGCCGCCCTGAGCCCTGGCAGGCACGCTGGGCCGGGAGGCGGCATCCTGGTGCACACAGAGCAGTCTGGGAGCAGGCGCAAGGCAGAGGCCTGGGCACAGGGCAGACCTGCGGTGAGCAGGGCCCCTGCAGCCGCTGCCGTCCTCTCCAGGCGTGGCCAACTCTGAGCAGCCGGGCTTCCCTGCTCACACCCGCCTCCACAAGGCTGCATGAGGATGGGCTGTTTAGACTCCAGCATCCCCCCAGGGCTCGGCCCAGCCGCTCCCAGCCCCACGTCCCTGCAGAAATGCACAGGCCCAGGTGCCAGGACAGGCGCTGGCCTCTCGCCCCTTCCCCCACCGCATCCCTTGAAGGAGGGGCTGGCACGCTGACCGCAGCCCACGCCCTCCCACCCCTGAATCCGCAGCGTCTGGCGGTCAGAGGCTGCTGTGGCGGGGGAGACAGGTGCCAGTGGCCCAGGCAGGGGGCACTGAGGCACCGCCATGGCTTCCGGTGCCCGCTGTTTGCTGTCGGCCGGGATCAGTATCTGGACACAGCGAGCCAGCTCAAGGCGGGGGACTTGGGGCCTCCCCTCACCTGCTTATGGGCGGGGCGCTCAGCCAGACAACCTCCTGCTGAGGTCCCCTCTAGCTCTGAGATCTCGGCCCCTTTGAACTGAGCAAATCCCCTTTACAGAAATGATTTACTCTTAGCAAGGCAGGGGGGTCACTTAACCCTGCCCACCCCACTGCCAGGGAGCGCACGTGATGCTGGAGCAGCGCTGCTCTCAGGCAGCTCTGAGGACCCCAGCGGGGGCTGTGGCCGCAACCTGAGGACATTGCGGTCAGCCGAATAACATCCCCCAAAGATGTCCACATCCTCACCCCCAGAACCTTCCATGGCCAAAGGGCCTTTGCGGATGGATTAAGCTAAGGGTTTTGGGAGTGAAGCCATCTTGGCGTAGCTGGTGGGCCCAACGTGTCCTCACAGCAAGGGGGCAAGAGGGTGGGAGGCAGCGGGGATGCGAAGTCAGGGGAGTCAGAGGGAGGAACTGGAAGGTGCTGGAAGATGCCGTGCTGCTGGCTGTGAGGACGGGAGGGGCCTCGAGCCCTGGTGCCTCCGGAAGGACACAGCCCTGCCCACACCTCGATTTCGGCCCACTTTGGACTCCGACCTCCAGCACCGTCAGGTACTAAATCTGTCGTTCGAAGCCACTGAGTGCGTGGTAAGTTGCTATGGCAGCCACAGGACACTAACACAGAGCACAACCTTGCTGTCTCGGGAGCCACTACGGAGTCCCGGGCCGTCCGAGCTGGAAATCCAGGGCTCCCGCGTCAGCTCCCGCCAGCCCCGCCTCCGACTCAGCAGTGAGGTCCACTGTGTCTGCGGGGGCCCGTCCCACAGCCAGGCTCATGGGAGCCGTCTGCCCCTCTGGCGTCCAGACTCCCTCGGCCGCCCTCCACTGTGCCCAAGGGCCAGGCCAACCCCAGATGGTGCCGGATGGCGTGATGTGAGCCCAGCAGTGGGACCAGTGCCCTGGAACACCCCAAATGCAGGGCCCCAACAGAGCATTGGCACGCAAAACTCTGAAACTCCAGCAGCAGAAACAGTCACTCTCCTGTGCAAGGACAGGGTGGGGGGCGGCTGAGCCCCGAGGAGTGAGGGGACCCCCAGCGGAGCATGGAAGGAGCTTGGAAGCCTCCCCCCATGCCCACCCAGGAGAGTCAGGGGATGAAGCCAGCTCATTCCAGGCACAACGGGCTGGCCTGGGAATAAGTCCACTCCACCCTGTGCAGCCCAAAGCCAAGCCCCATACCCAGGGAGGGGACAGGCCAGGTACAGCCCAGGCAGCTATGACAGGTACCAGGAAGGAGCCACCTGGTGGGGAGCTGGCGGGTCCTGACTGTGGCTGTTTTAAGGAACAGCTAGGCCAGGGTCCTGCTGCTGCCCTGGGCAAGTTACACGGCAGCCCAGGACAGGGTCAGCAGCACACGGTGACCTGGCTGTGCCAGCGTGGCTGGTTCCCCTGGGAGCCAGGCTAGACCCGTGGTGTCTGCTGAGCTGGGGGCTGGCGGAGCTTCGGGGAGCCCATGGAGATGCCTCGGGGAGCCCACGGGGCCTCCATCACCAGCACCCAAGCCCCCATCGCCTGCCGGGAAGGCTCACCGGGGCAGATGGGCACGGCTGGCCTGCGCAAACCTGCTGTCTCTGCAGAAACCACCCAACATAAGCCCTTTCTGAAGGTTGCCCTACTTACAGGAAACTCAGAAAGCTCCTCTCAGGGGAGCTCACCAAGTTCAGAGCCCTGTTTTGCCCCCAACATGCCATGAGGCCCTCCCCCGGGGAGTGCACACCATGAC